TCTTCCTTCTTTATCACTTCACTCTGGTGTCTGTTATTTCACTGTTTTTGTTTTCCTTCTTTTTCACTTCACTCCTACTACCCTTATTCCACTATTTTTGTGTTTTCCCTCTTTCATGACTCTTCTCCTTCCCTTATTTCACTATTTTTGTTTTCTTTTTTCACTTCACTCCTCCTTCCCTTATTTCACTATTTTTGTTTTCCTCCTTTTTCACTACTCTTCTCTTTCCCTTATTTCACTATTTTTGTGTTTTCCCTCTTTCACTTCACTCCTCCTTCCCTTATTTGCTATTTTTGTTTTCCCTCTTTCACGACTCTCTTCCTTCCCTTATTCTCTATTTTTCTGTTTTATTCCTTTTCCACGATTCTCCTCCTTCCCTTATTCACCGTTTTTCTGTTTTCCTCCTTTTTCATGACTCTTCTCCTTCCCTTATTTCACTATTTTTGTTTTCCCTCTTTCACGATTCCCCTCCTTCCCTCATTTCACTATTTTCATGTTTTCCTCCTTTTTCCCTTCACTCCTGCTTCCCTTATTCGCTATTTTTGTGTTTTCCCTTTTTCACTACTCTTCTCTTTCCCTTATTTCACTGTTTCTGTTTTCCTCATTTTTCACTTCAGTTCTTCTTCCCTTATTTCACTATTTTTGTATCTTCCTTCTTTATCACTTCACTCTGGTAGCTGTCTGTTTTTTCACAGTTTTTGTTTTCCTTCTTTTTCATTTCACTCCTGCTACCCTTATTCGCTATTTTTGTGTTTTCCTTCTTTTCCCTTTCCTCCTTCTTCCCTTATTTCACTATTTTTGTGTTTTCCTCCTTTTTCACTTCACTCCTCCTTCCCTTATTTCACTATATTTCTATTTTCCCTTTCACCATGCCTCTTTTCCCATTTTTCCTCTTTTTTACTCTGCTCCTGCTTCCCATCGAGGCAAAATGCGACTGAGCCGGTTTAAATCAGCATCACGGATGAATCCATGATTCTATGACGATTCTGTGATGAATCCATGATGAATCCATGATGATTCTATGATGAATCCATGATGATTCTGTGATGATCCCATGATTAATCTGTGATAATTCATGATGATTCCATGATTATTCTATGATGAATCCATGCTGATTCCATGATGGATCCATGATGAATCCATGATGATTCCATGATGATTCTGTGATGAATCCATCCTTATCCCACGCTGATCCCACACTGATCCCACGCTGATCCCACGCTGATCCCACGCTGATCCCACACTGATCCCACACTGATCCCACA